AGTGTGCGGTGCCAAGAGCCCTTGGGGCCCTGTCCCGTCTGTCCCAGTGTCCGTGGCCCGGGGCTGGCCCTCACATGGAGCGTGGGTTCCAGCTCTGGCCCTGCCTCCTGGACACCCTTGGCCCGTCCCTCAGTCTCTTCTCCCAATCCCTCCTGGATGCTGAAGGACCCCCCTCTTTACCCACATCGATCCTTCCCACACTCAGCACCCAGCAGCCAGTGCGTCGGTGTCTAGGGAGGGTGGACGGGTGTCTTGTGCTGGCCAAGAGGACTGGGGGCTGGGCTCAGCTGGTGGGGACAGCCCTGTAGACCCGGCCCCCCAGAACTCTCGTCCTCCTCGTCCAGCCCGCCTCTCCTTATCTCTGTGTGCGGGAATTGTGTGAGTGCTCAGGGTCACCACCAGAGCCCAAGTGGCCCCAAGCCAGTCCCGTGGAGCCTGTGGGTGAATCCAGAGTCAGAGTGACCCTCCACGGCTTGGTGGCCATCGCTGACAGCACACACGCTGGTAGACTTTGGACTGTGTGCTCAGAGAACTCTACTCACCACAGCACTGTGGATGTAAATTCTTCAGGCAGGCTTCTGCCCCTCCTCATTTTTCTAACCATTTAAGGATCCAGATGAAACCCCTTCTCAGTTTCCAGGTTTTCAAAAAATGCGCCATCAGGCGCTTCTGCCCTGTCCCCTGCGTCCCCTTTGGTTGGGACAGTGGGCCTTTCTGTGGGCTTCGTCCTGTCCTGGCTGGCAATGGGCAGCCTCTACCAGGGCCCCCCCGCACCCTGGAGGCTGGCCAAATCGTTTCCATGGTGATGGGATGCCACAGGACTCTGCAGAGAATGCAGGGAGCCTGTCTGAGCCCCCAGCCCCTCCCTCAAATGGAGATGCTCCTGAGGTCCTGACAGCCAGGTGGCGAGCTGTTCTCTGGGCCCCTCCCATTGTCCCCAAGTGTGGGGCAGGGCTGCCTGGCAGGGTCCCACACTCCTCACTGGCAGGGCCAGTGCACTATTTGCATAACGGCTAATTGATTTTGGCTCAGGCTAATTGGTCAACAGAATGGATTGCCAATAAACAGGATGGGATGGGATTAGAGACACTTGCAGAGCTGCCGGCCCGGTGGTGCCTCAGTGAGGGTTGCAGCTGCAAGCCGAGAGGAGAGGGCGGCTGTTTGAGCCCACGCCTAAGCGCCGAGGGAGAGGGCTGTGAAGCTTGATGGGCAGTTCTGCTCTGTCCCATGGGGTCAGAGTTGGGCCACCCAGTGGAAACAGGGAGAAGAGCTGGGCGGTTGGGATGCCCACTGCTGTGCCCGCCTCAGATGACCCTTCTCAGGCCAGAACCACATCCCTGTCCGGGCCAGCCTCGTGCCCACCTGACTGCTCAGAGCCACCCCCGCCCCAAGCTGCCCCCTGGCCCCCGCACACCAGCCCCATCACGCTCTGCTCCTCCGCTCTCCCGCACTGCTGGCTGTTCCGACAGCGAGACTGAATAACAAATGAAGTTGAGTTGCAGGGATGTAATTTTCGTTAAAGCCTTTAGGCTGCTGGAAGAAGCCTGATCCTCTGATTTCTCAGCAGTAACTGGGGAGGCCTGCCCCTTTCTTGGTTAGGCTGGTGGTTGGCGTGCCTCATTTAATGCCCAGGCCACTGCTGGTCTTATTTGCACGTGGGCACCTCTTGTCTCAGCAGCGGCAGCGTACCCCTCCCTCCCCCTCCCTGTGTGGGCCTCCTTGAGCTTTCTGGAATTCATTTTGGGATGAAGTACACCCCGACCCCCAAGGATTTTGACTTAGGGAGAGTGACATCTTAGAGGTGCACTGCAGTAGCCTGTCCGTGTCCCCAGGCGATCCTCAGCACGGCCGACCCTAGGCTGGGACCTTCTCTGTGGGAGGAGGCTGCCTGGGACACTAGGGTGTTGAGTAGCACCCCTGACCTTCACCCAATCCATGCTAATAGCACCTCTACCCCCTGCTGAACCCCTCACTGAATTGTGACACCCATGAATGTCCCCTGGCGCTGTCCCCAGTCCCAGTCAAGGAGGAGGCTGTGTTTGGCCACCAAGCCCAGCCCTCCTGCCGAACCCAAGTTCAGAGGGATGCCCCTTTCCACCTGCGTGGTGTCGGCGCACCTGTCATGACTAAGTGCCATCGTTGCTGTTAAGGACTGCCACGTCGCTCCATCACCCGGTGGCTGTCAACAGCAGCCTCCTCGGGCAGCCTCCTCTCCTGCATGCCCCGCCACTGTACAACCACGAGGTCCTTCTCCAGGGGCGGCTCCCGCCTCTCAGCAACGGACAAGTCTCGCAGCCTCGCTTCTGAGGAGCATTGTGGCTGGGCTTCCTCCAGGACGGATTGTTCACCTTCCGCCTTCCCCGTTCTTCCAAAGGCCTCCTTCCTTCCTATCCGTTGCTCAGCTTTGGCGCGGATGTGAGGCGACTGCAGATGTCGTGCTTGGGTCCTCACGGTGCCATCTTTGTCCTCGGAGCGCTTCAACTGGGGCTGGGGCAGCGCGTGTGCCCGATGGCTGCTCTGTGAGCATCGATCGTGGATCTAAGTGAACCGAGGTCCTTGCCAGCTCCAGGCTCTTGTTTGTCCGATGGTGGCTGTTGGCCCAGATGTGAGCATCTGCTGTCTTGTCACTGAGCCGTGAGTCATGCACACTGACGGCCGCAGCCGTTACTCTTCATCAGCGAGGGCTGCCGGGCCAGCAAGGCTGTGGCACCTGCACGTCTGCACAGGTTGCTGGTAAGCCTTCCTCCAGCCCTGATGCCGCCGCCGTCATTGTCTCCAGCTTCTCTCATGATCAGCTCAGCACCATTGAACAAGTATGGTGAACGGAGGCAACCTTGATGCCGCCTTCCTAGGCATCTTTAAACCTGTCCTGGTGTAAAGCCATGCAGTATTCCCGTCTTCTGTTTGGCTAACTGTCTCTTGATCTGTGCACGGAGTCCACATGCGCATCATTGCAGCATCCTGGAGTTTTCCTTCTGTTAGCCGTATCCCTTCCACTGATTACAGTCCAGCCAGTCCATTGCCTTTGCTTAGTCTAGGAGACACAGGTGAACATCTTTCTGGTATTCTCTGCTCTCAGCCAGAATCCGTCTGACATCAGCAACGATAATCCCTGGTTCCAGATCCTCGTCTGAATCTGGCAGGGATTTCTGGGAGCTCCTTGTCTGTGCTCTGCTGCAGCCGTTTTTGAACGAGTCTCTGGCAACACTTTTCTTGGCATGTGATACTAATGATGCCGTCCCATAGTTTCGGCGTCTCGTGGTCACCTTTCTTTGGAATGGGCACAGATACAGGTCTTTTCCAGCCACTTGGCCAGGTAGCTGTCGTCCAGGTGTCTTGGCACAGGCGAGTGGCTGCTTCCAGTGCTGCCGGGACGTTCTGATTGGTGTTCTGCCAACTCCGAGAGCTTGTTTCTGGCTAAGGCCTTCCGTGCAGCTTGGACTTCTTCCTTCGGGGCTGTTTGTTCTTGGTCACATGCTGCCTCCTGCCGTGATTGAAGGCTGACGGGTTCTTTCTGGTGCCGTGACCGTGTAGCCTTCCGTTTTCTCTTGATGCCCCGCCTCCTTCAGAACCCTCCAGTGTTAGGACTCGAGGCCTGGATTTCTTCTTGTAGCTTGAAAAGTGCTGGGGGCGCTCTTCCCTGATGGCCTCGCACGAGCCATCACAGTGCTGCGTCTCCTCCGGCCGCCCTCTTGTGAGTCGTCATTTCTCCCGCGGCCCGTGGAGCAAGCTGCACACACTCTTCTGACATCTCCTTTGGTTTCCCTCCTGCTTTCTTCATGGACGAGCTCGCCGGGTCCTGTCATTAGTCTGTCCTGAGGTGGCCTCTGCGTCAGGTGGGGTGTGCCCACGGCTGTACTGTGGCTCTCCTGGACTTGACGGCATCTCCTTCAGCACCGGTGTGTTCCGCGGTCAGCCCGCAGCCTGGCTGTACCCGTTGGTCTTGAGCTTCTCCGCCGTCTCTCCCACAGATGTCGTCGGTGTGATTCCTGTGTATTCCACCTGGCAAGGCTCCCGTGTATGGTCACATTGGCAGGTTGTCTTGGTCTTGCAGGGTCCCACCGTGAGGGCTCCGGCTTCGTTCCCGTTGCCACAGTCTGGTTTTCCTCGTGGTCTTCCGCTGCCTCGCCCCACTCGCTGGCTCTGGGCTCCCGTGTCGGTGGATAGATGGGATCCAGTCACAGGCAGGGTTATGCTTCAAGGTGCATCTTGGAACGCTCTCTTTGGTGAGGAAGGTGCTGCTGCGGCTCTCATATTACTCGGCAATCCCGGCGCGGTAAGCCGCGGGACTGCCGTTTCAGCTCACTCATGCCTGGGGCATCGTTGTGCGTTTCACTTCTTTCTGGTGACTTGGGTCTCCCCAGGCTCCTGTCGCACACGAGGGACACGTGCAGCTGCCTCTCCTTCGGGGTGTGCCCCATCGGCCAGCGAAGGCCTTCCCTGAGGGTGCTGCTCCACCCACATCATTTTGGTCAGCTCTGCTCTGAGGCCACAGCTCCTCCTCCTGTTACTAAATCCGACCGTGTGCCCCCATCGGTGAAGTTTCAATGACTGACCTCCCAGCAGTGGGCAGCCTGTGCGCTCTGCCTCTGGTCTGTCTCAGTCCGGACACTCCACTAAAGCCCGCCCATCCAGAGCAGCCCTGCTGGTATTTGAGACCGCGGTGGCCAGGCTCCTAGTAGGACAGCAGCAAGGCAGCCACCCCAGTCGGAGGACGGGCTGGCAGACGGTGGGGGAGGCCCAGTGTGTGGCTCCAGTCAATCCCACCAACTGACTCTTAAGAGAGACAGGGTAGCGGAAGCGCACGCTCACACCCACCCAGTCCCCAAATGCCCCAGCTGGGCCGGCGTCACCTGGGGCAGATGCTGGAGACGGAGAAGAGGGATGGCGAGAAAGCGGGGTGGGGTGGGGTCTGGGAAGTCCAGTGTCTAGAGAAGAGGACAGTTCTCCCAGTGCCCGAAGAACTCGGTCTCCAGACTGCACAGAAAGTCACTCCAGAACCCACCTAGCTAGCCCTGCAGGCCAGAGTCCCGCTGCCCGGGGCCTGAGGCTGGTGTGCCTCTTTCTCCCTGTGCAGAGGGGCGTAGGCTGGGCTTGGCCGGCCGGCCTCTTGATTCGTAGCTGGACACCGGCCACCTGGATGGTGCAGCGCTGTGAATTTTCACCACTGTTGAGTCAAACAAAAGACTGCCCAACATTTTGGAGTACTTGGCAAAGTCCACACGGAAAACGAGGGATCCTAATGGCATTGGATTTATATCGACGGTAACACTTCAAAGCCTTTGGATTCAGAAGAGAACTGAGGTGCCCAGGTACCCAGCCAAACTGCCAATTAAACGAGCCCAGGGGCGAGAGGTCTTGGAGACTTGCTGGCAGAGGCCTGGCGTGCACCTCCTTGCTCAGGAAGCTAGCAGCTCCAGGACCCACTCAGCAAAATGGGCGTAGTCCCAAGAAAGGGGGGCTCAAGAACACGCCCTCCGACCCAGGGAGTGGGCACGCGGGGCCTGTCGAGCAGGCGTCCTGCTGTAGGAGACCCTCACCACAAGCTCAGCGAGGTGGGAGACACAAGAACACAGCATCTGAAAGGAGGCGGGACGATGGTTCACTCCAGGAAGAGCGAACCAAGAATGCAGTGAAAGCAGCTTTGTTGCTCACAGACGCGTGGTATTTATAGCATCATAAAAATGTAAATATTGACTGCCAGCCACAACCAAAGGTGGTGACAGATTGGGAAGAGCAGCCGGTGGGGGAGGGAGAGTCGCATCCTGAACCTCAAGCCAGCAGAGGCCGCAGCAGTGCGGGCACGCTTGCGTGGACAAGCGCCACAGCGAGTTCCACAAGCAACCGCCTCGGGAGTGGACGTGGTGCCAGGGCAGCAGGGCGGGCTGTGGGTACACTGCAGCCAGGGGCCGTGGGGAGCACTCCCTGGTGGCAGCTCGGTGGGGACAGGTGGATCTAGCCTCCAGAGAGCTTGGTGTGGTTTTTGGATGGGCTTGCAGCAGACGTGCGGCTTGACTTTCCCAGCCTGCTTGGGGCCTTGTGTGTGTCACTGAGGGGCCCTGCTGGCAAGTTAGGCATTGGTTCCCAGCCAGCAGGCTGGCAGTTTGAGCCCACCCAGTGGATAAAGACCGGGCAATCGGCTCCCCTGAGGCCGGCCGAGTCACCCCCTTGGGGGGAGGGGGGCAGAGAGTACCCAACAGCCACATGCTCGGTCCCACCTGCTCCGTCCCAGTGGGGCCCGGGGCCAACCCCCATCGCCTCCGGGTTCAGCCCCCACCGCTTGGGGGTTCAGCTATTTCCCCCCCCCACCCCCCGCCACACTACATCAGGGTTCAGTCTTGCTTCCTAACCCAGCTGCCCACTGCCTTGGGGCTCAGTCGCCCACCTGCTCAAGGTTCAGTCACCACCACATTGGGGTTCAGCCCCTACTTCACAGACCAGTCTCCCACTGTCTCCCACTTCACTCCCCACTGTGGTGGCCATGCTCACCCATAGCAGCACGTGGTGAGGTGCATGGCTGCCAGGAATTGGGGGTCAAGCCCCTAAAGGCTCCCCAAACTCTGAGCTTAGTTCTGTGTGGGGACCTAGGCATGCTGGGGGGCTGGGGGACCCTCCATGTCCTCCTGTAGGGGCAGAGTCAGGTGTGGCCCAGCAAAGAGCCGGGTGCCTGTGGGAAACCAGGCAAGGTAAGTGGACAGGTCAGGGCCCCTGGCACAAGGGTCTCCACATCACAAGCCGCTGCCTTGGGGGGCTCACCCCAGGCAAGGTGGGTGCTGCCCTGAGGGTGCACAGTGTGTACCTTACCCTGGGGGGCAGGGGTGCTACCTGTGTTCACGTGGGTCCCTGGCATTGCCGTCCCACACAGTGTGGAGCTTGACTTCTCTGCCCAGGGCCGCTGGGGTCAAGATGCTCCCTGGGAGGGGGCTGGCCCTGAGCTCCTGGAGCCCTCCCCACTGCTTCCTTGCTGCCCACCCCGCTGTACTCTGCCTGTGCCCCGCACTCCGCATGCCCCCTGCCCTCGCCGCTCATCTCGTGGCTCATCCTCAGCGTCGTGTGCAGCTGCCCGGCGGCTCCAGAGGGGGCCCTGCAGGCTAGGCAGTGACTAGTGCAAGGGGAGTGGGAGGAGGGGTGGCTTTAGCTGGAGGTCGGGGGGGTTTCAAGGACCCAGCATGGAGAGCTTGGGGGGGCCGTGAGGGGGTGGGCACAAGGCAGTGCCCAGGGGCATGCAGAGCTGCAGCTAGGCTGGATGTAGGGGCCCTGACTCAGAGCCCCTCTGACCATGGTCTGGAGGCGAGGCTGCCCAGGGAGGACCCAGAATGTGCGGTGCCCGAGCCCCGCCTCACATCACAGCTGGCTAGGGCTGGGGCGTGGGCCCTTCACATGGTCCCCTGCCTTGCCAGGACCTTGGGGTGGGCTGGATTTGAACCAGAGCTGGGCCTAGTGGCTGGCGGGACACCACTGACCCATGCCTTCAGGCCACGTTCAGTGGGCGGTGCCTGTGGCTGGTCCTGACAGTCGCTCCCTGGTTCTGTCCCCCAGGCAGGGTGAGGGGTGACGGGGAGGACACTCCCGAGAACCAGGCAGTTCCCAGGCTGTCCGAGTGATGTCGCTCACGGCAGAGGCTTCTGGGTGACTGTCCCAGGCCTTGAAGGGATGCGTGGCTTCCTGCCCTCAAGGACGGAGCCTCAGGCCCGCCCACCTCAGACCCTGTGTGTCTCATCCTCGCCTCCCTGCGAGGAAGTGGTAGCCAGGTCCAGCCTGCAGGCCGGGGGCTCGGGGACGTCTCCCTCCCCGGAGGTGGGTCCCGGGCCAGGCGGGCGGGTGTCACCGCAGCTCAGGGAAGGAGCGGGCTGCCAGGGCTGCAGGGGAGGCGTCCCCAGAGAAACCCTCCCTGAAATTTACGTTCTAGACAAATTAGTCTGAAAGAGACCAGACACTGGAAAAGGACTGAGGAGGAGAGGAAGTCCAGTCTAGAGAGGCGGAGGGAGCAGACCAAAAAGCCGGGGCTGTCGTAAGTGTCTTCTCTGTGTTTGTCGTCTGGGCATTTCACGCCGCCTGCTGTCTGCCTCTGGGGGCTCGGGCACCCCCCACTCCCACCTCCATGTGATCCATCGGTTGGTCCTGTCGCCAGTTGCCAAGAGCACCTGCTCCTGACCCAGCCCCACCCACCCACCTGTAGACCCCTCCGGGGGTCGCCTCAGGCACCAGCCAGGGCTCTTCTTCTCCTGGACCCCCACTCCACCTGATCAGCCTCCCTCCCCAGGTCTCACCGGAAGCGCAGCCAGCCTAAGAAGTCGAAGCCGGAAGACCCCAAGGCCCCCGGAGAGAGCACGGTGGCCGGGGCAGCCCTCCTAGAGGATGGTGGCAGTGGGGGTGCCAAGGAGGAGGCGGACCCCGAGGAGGAGGAGGAGCTGCTGCCCAGTCGCGAGGCCGAGGGTGCTGAAGGTCAGTGTCGCTGTCCACCAGGGGTGCCTTGGGTTCTCCTGGGGCACCCAGGGGTTCCCCTCCCCAGGCACCATTACTATTGCCTTCCGAGGTGGCAGGTGGAGGGGACAGTCTAGCATGTGGACCTCCACAGACAGGGCTGACCTGGGTCCTGTGCAAGCGTCGTTCACACGTGTGCCCCTTGGCCCCATGGGGGGCACACTTGAGAGGTCCGCAGGCTAGGCCACAATTCCGCAGTGTGTCTTCTCTTTTGGGTGTCCGGTTTCATTCTCAGAGTTCACAGTCTGGAGGGCCCATGTAAACGGTGGAGCCCCCCACCCCTGACCTCCCCTGCTGCCCACCGCTAGCCTGGGATGCTTCTGGTCAGGTCACAGTGGAGGGGTTCTCGTCGGGTTCCCAGAGTTCCCTGTTCTGCAAGTCCCCTGGGGTTCTTGAGTCCCAAAGCCTTGTTTTCTCAGAGTTGTAAGCGCAGAGGGGGGCCCTGTGGCTGGTGTCAGAGGCTGTGTGGTGGCCGTGCTGACCACGGTGTGGCGGTGGCCCTGGCTGTGCTAGGCACCCGAGCCGGGCAGAAGAAGGCCCCTTGGTGTGGTGGGAGAGGCCGATGGCACCACTGCCCACCGTGACGGACATGCCCATAGGGCTGCTCGAGGGAGGGGCTCCTGCAGAGGGGTCCCCATTGGGAGCCACTGCATCCCCCTGGAAGGAAGAGTGAGTGTCCTGAGACAAGGCTGGAGAAGGTGATGCAGGGGGAGCGAGCTCTTCCGTCCGTCCGTCCACCCGTCCGTCGGGGGCGAGAGGGCGGGAGAGTGCCCTGTGTGGAAATGTTGGCGCGCCCCCAGAAAGCCCACAACCTGCAGCCTTGCTGCAAGAGGTCCTGGAGTGGGGGCACCTCCCTCCTCCAGGATGCGGTCTTGTCTGCCCAGACACGTGAGGACGGCGGCAGGTGACACAGCGGGTCCAAAGAGACAAGTCCAGAGACCAAGGGGCACTTTCTCAAGGAGCTGGCTAAGCCTCGTGTGCAGAAGCCAGCCGCATTTCTGGGTCCCAGGAGAGGCCCGCGAGCGGGGTGAGCAGAGGGCCAGTGAGGGGACGGCCCGCCTGCCCCACAGGAGCTGCAGCAGCGGCTCACAGTGCTAAAAACCTTGAGGGTGGCCCGGGGCCACGCAGCGTTGCCTCCGGTTGTACGGGACCTGTGAGTTGGAACCGACTCGGGCACCTGCCCACCACAGGGCGAGGCAAAAGGTGACTCCCTGAGCTGCTAACCAAAAGACAGGCCGTCCAAACGCCCCCGCTGTTGTGAGGAAGACAGGTGTGGCTGTCTGCTTCTGTAACGATGGCCTTCTACACTCTGAGAAGCAGCCCTCTGCCCGTCCGTCCAACAGGCACCTGTGAGCTGGGTCGGCTCCGTGCAGAGGGTTCTTGGTGGCTGTGGGTTTAGGTTGGTGGCGTAAGTGGTTAACACCCTTAGCTGTGAACACAAGATGGGCAGGTTGAGTCCACCCAGAGGTGCTTAGGAAAAAGGCCTGGCTGTCTCCTTCCAAAACTTCAGCCACCGGACACCGGACACCCTGGGAAGCACAGCTCCACTCCGACACCCTGGGGTCACCAGGAGCCGGAGTCGGCTCGGGAAATACGCGTTTCAAAAAGATGCGCCTCGGAGTAAAGCTCGCCAGACAGATAGAGCACGGGCTTCAGGGGGAAGATGAGAGGCCCGAGTGACGGGAGCTGTTTGTGTCAAGACCGCGTTTCCCCACTTACCCGTGGATTCAGTGCCGGGGTCGCAGCCGGGTGTGGTGGCCATGTGGTGAGGACCCCACAGGCTGACTTGAAATGTGTCTGGAGGAAGGAAGGCCCACAAGTGGAGGGACTAGCCTGCAGGCAGGCAGGTGGCTGCTTGCCAATTCGTACGATCCCTCTCTCACTCCACGTGGCCCGTGTGTGCCTGTGGCTTTGGTAGCGAAGGCCCACAGACTCGCTGGCTCACAGTAGCACACATTGGGAGCCTCCTCCAGCTCACGGGGATCCCATGTGAGGAGGCATTACAGGCTGCCCTCCCTATGGGAGTGCGTCGCTGCCGACTGAGTGTGAACCACTGGCCCTTGTGCACGTCACCTTTGTACCACCAAGGCTCCTGGATCTATCGGGAGACGACCCTTCAAGGGGAAAGCCAAGCCGGAGGACCCTGGCCCAAGGTGCAGGAGCTGCCCTCAAGGCCCACACAAATCAATGGAAGGAGATGGGGCACTAGGAGGAGCGGGGGTTGCTCAGCAGGGCAGCTCTGGTGGACCAGCCAGCACCTCTGTGCACAGCGGGGCCGAGCATGCTTTGCTGTGTCTAGCGGCCCACCCTTGCCTTCACAGAGGAAGCGCTGCCCCAGCCCTGCTCACCCCAGTCCTCCACCCTCAGGGCTCAGCGTCCAGCCTCCAGGTGGACAGCGCTCTGTTGGGTCCAGAGGTTTTTCCTGGTTGGTTTGGGAAAGTTGATCACCAGGCCTTAGTTGGGAAACTCCCGGAAAGCTGTCTGTCCTGGGTGACCCTGCTGGTGATGGAGGTAGTGCTGTTGTCCTGCCCAGCATCAGAGCTGCAGGCCAGCCGCCCCTGCACCACCCATGGACGGCCAGCCCGTACACCGACCCCCACCAGCCCTCTGGTGCACCCAGAGGTAGGGACGGCCTCACGAGGAGGTGGACAGGGATGGGACTAGAGGGGCGGCCTGCGTGGGCACCAGCAGTGTGGGTGTGGGCACATGGTAGGTGCTCAGGGCACCTTCAGACGCTGTGATGAACTCCTTCTGCCTCAGGCCCAGGTCAGAGTGGGTCGTCCAAGGATGGTCCCATGGAAGCCGAGCTCCAGTGGCGCCTCTGGCTCCATGTTGTTCAGTGGGGCGACAGATGGCCCCCAGTGTTCCTGAGGCTGCCGGCTCCTGCTCTGCCCCACCAGGTCACCAAGAGTTGGCATCCACTTGATGTCACATGACAACGGCCACCTGGTCCTTCTCCTCAGAGCCTCAAGCGGGCTCCAGTCACCAGTGTGTCTGCAGTGGGCTCATAGGTTCCGTGTGTCCCCAGTCAGTCTCATGGTGGCCCGTGTATAGCAGGGAGCTACGCTGCCCTGTCCTGCACTGGTGCCCAGGCCCATGGTGGTGGCCCTGTGTGATCCCGGGTGTCCACCCTAGTGGCTCAGCCTCTAGCCCTCGACTAGACAGTGTTGGCCGACTTCAGAGTGCTAGTTTACCAGGCTTTCTTCTGAGTCTTTCTTAGAAGCTCCAATGGGGTCTGCCCCCCGGGGGTCACCCTGCTGGTATTTGAAATCTCGATGGTCGTGCTCCGGCCTCACACATGCACGCCAGCCGTCGCAGCACGGTGGGCCGACAGACTGCAGGAGGGGGGCAGATATAAACCATGGCTGAAGCCCACCCCAGCGTCCCGTCAGACCAACCACTCCCCATCATGGTCTCCGATGTGCATGTATGCCTGCGTATGTACACGTGTCTGTGTGCGCCTGTATGTGCACATGTCACAGGGTCTCTTGTGGGGGTGGTGACACTCGGAACTCCCCAAGCAGGCTGGGCGCCTGCCACCCTTATTACCACACCCTTACGCCACGCCCTGAAGGCTGGGGCACCTGGGACATGCAGGCCAGGTGTGTCCATTGTCCACGGGCTTGGCTGGCAAGCTCTGGGAGGTTGACTCTGGGCATCAACATGACCACCCCCCCCCCCACTGCCCTAAATAGACCGCTCCTCTCACAGCTCTGGGGGTTTGACTCTGGGCATCAGCATGGCTGCCCCCAGCTCTGAGGCTCCCTCCCTAGCCCTGCCCCACTCCCAGAGGCCACCACATTCTTTGACTAGTGACCCCTCTTTGCCCTGCAGTGGAGCAGCTCTCTGGTCAACTCTGGCTGGACTGCAGCTGCAGGGGCTGCTCAGCTCGTTGGGCCCCAGGGAGCACACCTGCTGACCCATGCCCATCCCCTGCAGTTAGGGCTCTGGGAAGGGAAGCTGTGGCCACGGGCCACTGATCTCCTTGGCTGCCCACCTTGCCTGGTTCCAAACCACAGCAGCCACGTGGGGGCCGCCCATGGGTGGGGGGGGTGTCTGGTGGCTCAGAGATGGGGTCTTGCCACTGACCGCCACTCATCTCCTTGCAGAGGACGGGAGGGGCCGGCTGCGGCCGGCTAAGGCCAAGAGCGACCGAAAGAAGAAGAGCTATGGGCCCCTGCCCCCACACCTGCCCCTCCTGCCGCCCCCACTGCCCCTGCCACCAACAGCCCCCGAGGAGACGCCCCTGCTGGAGCCCCCCGTGCTAGCTCCAGCCCCCACCGCCACACCAGAGGAGAGCCCGCCGCCTGAAGCCCTCAACATGGTGCTGCCCGAGGCCCCAGGCGGCTCGGAGGATGAGGTCCGTCCACGGCCCATCATCCCTATGCTGTATGTGGTGCCCCGCAGTGAACGGGCCGCCGGCCCCCCACAGCAGGCCCTGGAGCGCCTCGTGCAGAAGGGCGCTGCGTGGCCGGAGCCCGCTACGCCCATGGAGCTGGCCCTGCCGGAGGGCCAGGGTGGGGCTGGGCGCTCCGAGACCCCTGCCCGGGCTGGCGACGTGCAGGTGGGTGCCCGGGGACCCTGTCCAGAGGCGGTTATCGGGGGGCCTGGGGCTGCTGGCTGAGCCCACCTCACGACGGGTTGTGCCTGCCCAGGCGCCGCCCACCTTCTCCAAGCTGAAGATGGAGGTCAAGAGGAGCCGGCGCCACCCGCTGGGCAGGCCGCCCACGCGCTCGCCACTGTCTGTGGTCAAGCAGGAGGCCTCCAGTGATGAGGGTGAGGGCCCCCACCACCACCGGACACTATGCACCCAGGTCCCCCCACCACCCGACACTGCCTTGCTGGGTCTGCATGCAACTCTGTGTGCACACACACCCCTGGCCCAGGGTGCGCCGAAGGCACCCTCACAGGAATCCAAGACGACTGCAGCTGCTCTGAGGCCCTCGGGCCCATCCTTGGCTGTGACTTGGGATCCTGCCCGGTCAGGCCACCTGACAGGAGGAGCCTCAGAATAAAGGCCTGGCAGTCTGTACCCATCTGCCTCCCCCCAGAAAGTCAGCCTCTGAGAGCCCAGGGGGCCCTTCCTGGCACGGGTTCATCTTCATGGGTGGAGTTGGGCAGGGGTGCGGTGACGGTGAGAGCGGGACTTCACAAGCAGCGAGGGGCGGGCGAGCAGAGACCTGACGAGCGCCCCTCCGCCCGGCCCTCTCCCTGCAGAAGCGCTGCCGTTCTCGGGCGAGGAGGATGTGAGTGACCCCGAGGCCCTGAAGTCACTGCTCTCACTGCAGTGGAGGAACAGCGCAGCCAGCTTCCAGGCCGAGCGGAAGTTCAACGCAGCCGCCGCGCTGACCAAGCCCTACTGCGCCGTGTGCACCCTCTTCTACCCCTACAGCCAGGTGAGGGGCCGACTGGCCGGCGTGCAGGCAAGCAGAGGGGCGGTCTGGCCGGGAGCAGTAGCACAGGTGGCCCAGGAGAGAAGACAGATGCAGCTCTGCAGCTTCCTCTGAAGCTTGCTAGCTTGCTTTCTCACCGTCCTGCGTTGATGCAGACTCTGCGACCCCATAGGACAGGGTCTAGCTGCCCTGTGCCACCCTCCACGGGGGTGGAAAGCCTGCACTAGCTCCCATGGAGCCGCTGGTGGTATTTGAACTGCTGACCTTGTGTGTAGCAGACCAAGGCATCACCACTGTGCCGCCAGGCTCCTCTATCCCTGCAGCTGTTTCAAACAGGGGTTTCAAACAGTGCGCACACACCACCACCACCCCTCTCTCCCAGGCCTGGGGACCAGTCTCTGTGCACTTCTCTCCTGGGGGCGGGGGCAGGAACAGGGACTTGGAGTCCACACGCTGTCCGATTCAGGCTGAAAGTAGAGACTCCCAGGACAGTGGGGACTCACTGGGTGGGTGAGGCTGGAGGGAGAGGAGCTGTCAGTACATGGGTGCAGAGGGTGCTGGCCGCTGAGTCCCTGAAGCAGGGAGGGAGGCTGTTGCCTGCGTCTGTGCAGAAAGCCTGCAGGGCGCGCTGCTGAGAGAGGCCCAGGGACCCTGGCCTGCCTGAGTTGGAGCCGCAGCCGTGTGCTGCCGGCACAGGCTTCAGCCCCGGGAGCAGCCCTCTGCCAGGGGCCTTGTGGAAAGGGTGTCCAGGACCAGGCCGCTCTGCCCAGATCCTGTGTCCTGCACCTCGGATCCCCACAGCGTGCCCGCTGGGCTGTCCACTTGCCAGTCCTCCTGTATTGTGAGCTGCCAGGGCCTACCATCTTCCTTCTGCAGCTTCTGAGCCCTGCCCCCTGCCTCCTACCCTCACTTTGCCATGCCTGCCCCTCAACCCTGCCCTCCGGAGCTGGGGTGCCTCCCAGCCAGGTGGGCATTGAAGAGGCAGCCCAGCCTATGCTGAGCCCCTCAGGAGTAGCCACCTGTGAGCTACTGCAATAGCATCTGTACCCACCACACAGCCACTCTAGACCATAAGCCCCAGCAGTCAGGCCATCTCCTGTGCTCCTGTATCCTGGCTCTCTGCCGCGCTTGTTAGGAGCCCCCTGCATGGACCCCATGCTCCCAGCTCTGCTCAGGGTCCAGGTCTGGTGCACATGGGGGGGGGGAGGCGGGTGTTTGCCACTGTGCATGAGGATGTACCGGTGTTGCCCCTCACTCTGCACTGCCCTCCTGGGGCTACCCGGAGCACCCAGGGCCACAGCTGGGGGACTGCGCCCAGCTCGCTGCTGTGGAGGCGATGCCAACTCGGTGCCTCGCGGGACAGGGTAGAAGAGCCCCCGCGGGTTTCTGAGAGAAGCTGTGACTGCATGAGTGGAAAGCCCGGGCTTTCCCTGTGGAGCGGCCGGTGTGTGGGGGGGGCTCTGCTGTGAGCTGCTGAGCTGTCACGGTGCTCCAGTGCGCAATGGCGCCACAGCAGCCGGCGTTCGGGGCACCGGCACCTTCCTTGCAGCGCTGCCGAGACCTGGGTTGGGGGTGTCGGCGGTAGACCCCCGACCTAGCTGCCCCTCCGGTGCAAGCATGCTGGGCTGGCTGTGGCCGTGTTGGGGATCGGGCCCAGACTTGCTGTAGTTGTGGCCCCGTGTGACACCTGGATCCCGCCAGGTGCAGGGGTGCAGGAGGGCCAGGAGGAGTGTGGGTCCTGCCTCACCCACCTGTCAGGAGAGGTCAGTCACCCCAGTCCTGCCCACCCAGCTCAAGTTCCAGGCAGCATAGTGCCCAGGGGTCTTCTGTGTGTGGTGGGGCCTCCCTGCCTCAGGGGCCGGGGGGCTGCCCTGCCTTAGTGTCCCCTTCCCACGCTTCATCTGTGCAGCACACCTCTGGGAGGACCGAGTACCCCACAGACCCTGAGGGCTGTGGGTGAGACTGGAGGGCAGCCTGGGGCTGGAGTAGCGGGCAAGTCAGCACCAGGCAGAGGGCAGTTGTACCAAGAAAGGCCTTGGGGCAGGACTGGGATGGGAGGAGGCAGCCATCTGTCCAGCGGAGGGCATGCCGGGGAGCCAGGCCAGTGCAGTGTGGGCACCCAGGGATGGGTTGGGGATAGGAGGGGCAGGACCTAGTTCAGATGGGGAGGGTTGGGTGGGTAGCAGGGCCATGTGATGCCCATGCTGGGCTCTGGGTGCCCCACTGAAGACCCCCCCCCTCACCCCACAGTCCCTGCAGCCAGAGAAGGAGGCCGTGCTCGGGGAGGGCCCCTCGGCCACAGCACCGCTCTCCAAAAGCGGCCAGAAGACTCGGCCGCTGGTGCCCGAGATGTGCTTCACTGCGAGCGGCGAGAACACTGAGCCCCTGCCGGCCAGCTCCTGCATCGGGGATGACGGCACCAGCCTGCTCATCGCCTGCGCCAAGTGCTGCCTGCAGGTCCATGCCAGTGAGTGCTGGGGGGCGGGGGGGGGCGGGCAAGGTCCACAGCAGTGAGTGTCCTGAGCCCCAGGTGTGTGCGGGAGCCCAGCAGCACTGTGCCCTCGGATCTCTCCTGGAGCTGGCAAAGCCAGGCCGTCTTCAGGGCCACCGTTCTTGCCCTTCTCTGACCTTGCCAGGCTGCACCTGTTGGTTGCTTGTCCAGTCAGCCTCCTCCTGCTAGAAGGTTCTGTGAACCTTGCTCCCTCTCCTGGGCCCGTGAGGCGGTGGGGGAGAGTTGGTGCTCACTAGGCGCCCCCATAGCTCACAAGCAGTGATCGGGTCAGAGTGGAGCTTGGGGCCGAGATGAGGTTCAAGGCTAGTTAGCAGATGTAGCTCTGTGCTGGCACCACCCCCTCCCTGGCCCTCCTGGGTCGGGCACACGTGGGCAGCTTGTGAGATCAAGCCCCAAGCAGGCAGCACATTCTTGATCTCAGAGCTGATTAATCTTGTGTGCACCCAGTTGGGGAGCAGCCTCCCATCCCTGTCCAGGAGCCAATGGTCTTCCCAGCTAGGACCTGTCTTCTGCTTCCCTGACCTGGGGGTGAGGCATATGGCCAGCATGGCACTGGCCCCCCACCATCTGGCATGGTCAGAGAGCAGTGAGCCCTCGCCCACTAGCCTTGGGAGGCTGAAGGTGAAGGTTACCCAAACCGTGAGGTGTGGCATTGGCTTCAGCCTTGTGGGCAGCGGCTTTGACCCCACTCAGCTCAGAACATAGTCTGTGTTGAGAGCTGGGGTTGGGGCCCAGCGGCCCTCCTCTATGCCAGCCTCCCTCTGCTCTGGGTTGCTGAGCAGGGTCTCTGGGCACCTGGGTGTAGCCACACTCAGTAGGATGGCCTGGCCTGACTGTGAAGCTGTGCCCACCCCCTTCCAGCAGAGTCCCCTGTGCAGTGGGAGGTGTCCCCTGGGGAGGGAGAACCTGCCCTCCCCGATGCATGTTTGCACAGACATGGGAGGAGGGCAGAGAGAATGTAGTCACTCCAGAACAGCCTCTGCGGATGTGAAGGCTGTGCCACCAGACCTGTGCATCAGGTGTCTGCCTGGAGGCTTCTCCTGACTCACAGGTGTGGCCTCAGGGCCCAGAACCCGAGGACAGACGATGATAAGTCAGGTGCAGGAACTAGAAAGAGAGCTTTTCCCAGAACGTGTATGTGCACTGACCCCGAGGACACATCTCTCACATCAGATTGCACACAGCGGACAATTACTTACATGACCCATCCTGAGAATCATGGCTCAGCCGAGTTGACACACAGCATCCGCCGTCCCAGCCCAGCCTTTGGCTCCTGGGCCCCCTGGCACCTCTCCTCAAGCCACCCCTCCCTCTAAGTGTAGACAGTTGTAATGTCATAGTTGGACTTGCGTCCAGCCAAACACACCAGCCCCATTGTGTCTTACCAGTCACGAGTAATGGCTAAAGGGGGAGAACAGGTACACACGTGTGTCTGGATACCTATGTGCACACACACACACACACACACACACACACATCTAAGACAAGGAAGAAATGTAACATAGCCCGTTTCTGCAGGCTGTAGCTGGTGTGTAGCACTACTTTCTCATACCGCCTCCATAGCCCCTTTACCCTCAGCGAATACCTGGGCTGTCGTGGCTCTGCCTGGTGGGGTGACCAGACTTTCATACCTGTAAAGTCTGGGCCCAGAGTGGTCAGTAGTGCTGGGTTTGGGAGGTCGTGGGTCTCCTGGGTTCCACACATGCTCTTCTCCCCTCCATTGGCGACCCCCCCCCCGGCCCCGCCCCCACTCTCCCCTTGGTGATCAGGATCAGCAGGCCAGCCAGTATGGTGACTCCACTCTCTGCCTGGTGACACGGAGGCTTGAGGAGCCGGCAGTTGCCAGAGGAACGTGCTGACCCCTCTGTTCAGCAGAGGCTCCAAGTGGGAGCATTCCTCCCCGTGGAACTAAGACCTCTAGACTCCCAGAGCACACAGTCACAGGACAGGAGGAGAGGTCATCTCAGGGGTCACTAGGTAATAGTGTGTGGTGGCATTCCCATTGGGCTCCCGGCCTGTGACTCTGGCTGTTGGAGAGGCAGCCTCATAGGGTGGACCCTGGTTTGAGTGAATACAGCCTCCTGGAGACGGTTGCCCCAGCCCGGCAAGGTCTCACCAGCTGGCTGGGCCTCCCTGGGTCTTCAGAAGGCCGTCCTGTGGTTCCTGTGGGCCAGCTGCTTCAGGATGATGGGGACGTGGTAAGACCAGTAGCTTCCACTCAGTGGATGTGGAGGGAGCCCTTGATCTGAGCCGATGCTGTGTGGGAGAGCATGCTGGCGGGTAAGGCACTCTGTGGGTGCACAGTGGTAGTTCTGGCAGAAGCGTTTCATGCAGGGGCGGACGAGCCACTGTCTCTCCAATAAGAACATGGTGGAAGTCGTCCTGTGCCATCCACCCGCCCCACAGCACGGACTCCCGATGGGCTTTCGCTGAGGTGCAAGCACCTGAATCTCTGCCGCCCTGGATCCCCATGGCCAGGTCTCACCTGTCCTGCACTGCAGGGTCACTGTGAGTCGCAATGGACTCGCCAGCAGGTGTCTTAGCCAGTACGTCCACAGTCACTGCGCCTTCCTCGCACCAGGCTCACTTAGCCTGATGTCCTCCATGCCAGGGCTCAGCGTGGCAGCTTGTGGGAGGGAAAGGCGAGCCAGGCCCTGAGCACTCGCTGCTGGAGAGGGAGGCACCTCTGCGGCAGGGCTGCGAATGTGCAGCGCCCTCCTTGCCAGCTAAAGGCACCCTGGTTCCATGGGCTTTGAGAGAGGTGGGGAGAAACCGGCGCATACCAAGAGTTGTGTTCATTTGCTCCGTCTGTGATACCACATCTGGATCAGTCACCACCTGGCTAAGTCGACCGGGCTACACTGGCATGCTCTAAGACCCATCTGTTCTTTGCACAGGCCAGAGCGGCGGGTTCAGTGGGAGGTGGTGGGCATCGCCACCCCGGCGTCCCTGGGCCTCGTGGAGGCCCTGATCTCTGTACCACTTCGGGGACGTTGGTGTGGTGTGGGGTTTGCTGTTTCCTACGCAGGGGCAGGGGTGGTGCTGGCAGCTTCCAGCAGGCGTGTACTGCCCTGACAGCCCTTATTCCATGTGTTTGGGGTCTGGGGTGGGGGGGTGGGGGGTGGCGGGCATTCTGTCAGTCGCCAATTATGAGATTTGGACTCCCTGAGCTTGGCATCGCTGCCAGATGACCCAGGACCCACTGCACCTGCTTGCTGTGTCGAACCTCAGCCAAGACGCCAATAACAAGCTGACCTCTGCATGCCCCCTTCTGACTGGTGGGATTGGCATCAGGTCAAAACCAGTGTCCAGAAGCCGCTGAAAAGTCAGCTTGTTCCCTTTGCCCCCGTGAGCAGTCTCCGGCGGGGAGAAGGTGAAGAGAGCACCGTGGGCTGCTTCCTCTCAGGACCGGCCTGCCTCCTTCAAGGGCTTGTGCTCTGGCCTCGGGCCCGCATCTGGGAGATGACTGAGGAGCTGAGTCTCTGTGCTGGAGATGCAAGTTAGACGGCCCTTCACTTGACCTCGAGTCCTTCCCTTGGCGCCCTTCCTCCGCCCTTCAGGGAGGAGCCCTGGGAGTCGGGCTGCGATCTGCAAGGTCAGCAGCTTGCAGGTCCTCTGGAGCCGCTCCTCGGACAGAGACTGGACTTTCCACTCCAGTCAAGATCACAGACTGGGAAACTCGCAGGAGCAGTTAGGAGGGCTCTGAGCCGGCCTCGACCACGGCTGGATGGACGGCAGTGAGGTTTTGTTTTGTTGGCAGAGTAGAACTGCCCCCCGGGATTTGTGAGGCCCCGGTCTTTGTGGGCACCGCCAGCCTAGTCTTCCTTCCTGGGAGCCACTGGTACTTCACCACGGTACTGCCAGGCGTCCTTCCACTTGGGCAGAGGCAGTGACGATCTGTTTCATGCCCCCCCTGTGAGTCCTTACTGCCGGATTCTGATCATGGCGTCACTCTGCTGTCCACTGTGGCTGATGGAGTGCGGCCCTGCAGCTCTACCCCCGCTGGCCCTGCTGGAGCCGGGGCTTCCCACTGCCAACTCAGGCTCCCAGGACGCCGGGGCTTCCCATATGGTGTGTTCCTCACCGTAGCCCGAGGGGCATCCCCTGGGTGCACGGAGTGGGGGTCTAGGGTGATGAACCCACGCTCACGGCACACACCACTCCAGGTGGGGAGCTGAGTTGGCATTGTGATTCGGCCACTCTCAGGGTGGAATTCTGGGTTTGGTCTCCTAGCAAACTCAGCCCTGTGGCTGCAGGAAGTCACGCTGTCGCTCGGGCCACGTGTGACCCCACCCCCACCCCCCGGCTTCCTCGCCGTACGTGTCTCTGGCGAGTCGTAGAGGGTGGCAGATAGGCAGTGACTCTCAGACTCGTCTCTCATGAACCTTTGATTCATCCTGTCCGTGGTGGCCGGTGCACACCAGTGATTAGCAGCGCCCTCCTTGCCCGCAGAGTCAAGGCATCAGCCCCTCCCTTAAGGGCTGGTCAGATCTGAGAACCAGTTCAGAAAACCCCTCCTCCCCATTTTGTGCCTCTAGCACTGCCCCTGGGAGCAGACCCTGCACCGGTGAAGCGCTCGCGTAAAGGTGTATGTGCCGGGGCGGGGGAAGGGCAGCAGCCGTGCAGTGTACAGGCCGGCAGTTTCCATGTCTGCAGGTCAGGCATAGGCATCAGACTAGAGGCTGCTCCAATGCATGTGGTCGCAGGGGCGGATGAGCCACAAGTGGGGCAGTCCCCCCCCCCCCCACTGTCAGACTAAGGGACAGTTGCCGAAGACTGAGCCTCACGTTAGCCACAAACCCTGGTCCTGTAACTGGGCTGTGCTCCTCAGAAGGGCCACTGCCGTGTCCCTGGTCCTGGTCTCTGGCCTGTGTGCTCACGTGAGTCCTGCACAGGGCAGCACCTGCAGGCCTCCGGTCTCCTGTCCTGGTCCTGGTCCTGGTCCACTGTCAACCACTGCATGCTCTCGGCCTCCCTCGGACCCTCCTCTGTGGCCCAGAGCTGTGTGTCAGAACCAGGACCCTTCTAGCCGGGCTGAGCTGCCCTCTCAGGGTTGCTGTGCTGACCCAGCAGGGGCCCCAGCCGCCCTGGCTTCCTGAGGGACACAGCGGAGGACGGAGGACCGGGTGGGGGAGCCATTGCCCGATGCTGTGTACTGCCTGGCCTGGCCTCAGGTCTGGTGTGCCCTGCACCCTCCTTTCCAGGTTGCTACGGCATCCGCCCCGAGCTGGTCACCGAAGGCTGGACGTGTTCCCGGTGCACTGCCCACGCCTGGACTGCGGTAACTCGCCCCGCATCAGGGAGGGAGCCTGTGGGGGGGGGGGGGCACCGTGGGTCGGCATCGGGCGGGGGGGCTTTGCCCCAGCTCTTCCTGACAGCACACGGTCCCTTTCAGGAGTGCTGCCTGTGCAACCTCCGGGGGGGAGCCCTGCAGACGACGGCCGACAGAAGGTGGGGCCCGCCGGGAGGGGGCGGCAGGAACGGGGACATCGCTGTTTGATCCCATGCGGGGCAGGGTGGGCACATGGACCCTCTGACAGCTCAGTGCCCCCTCAGCCCTGAGAGAGAGAGAGAGAGTGTTGGGGGGCACTGGAACAGCACCCTGCCCCACACCCCTCCAGGTGGGTGCACGTGATCTGCGCCATCGCAGTCCCCGAGGCCCGGTTCCTGAGCGTGATGGAGCGCCACCCTGTGGACATCAGCGCCATCCCCGAGCAGCGGTGGAAGTTGGTGAGTGCCCACAGTCGCCCTCTATCCTGGGAAGACACGCCAGGCCTTGCTCCCCACAGGCCGCGTCCACACTGCCCTGGTCCTGGCTGGGAAGGAAGCGTGGTGGGTGTTCACTTTGGTGCACAGTCAGCAGTGCCACTTGACAGCCAGGACCCCAGTAGCCATCCCCTGGCACCTTCCACGCAGTGGGTGCCTGCAGGCCAGTCCCCCATCTCTCTGTCCCCTCCTTGCCAAGGCTGCATCTGGGAGCTAAGCTGGGGCACGTGGACAGACTCAGGTCCTGGCCCACCCCAGGGGTGCTTGAGGCACTCCAGTAAAGAGCGCAGGTGGTACCCAGCCGGGGTATCCAGCCATGGCCCCTGTGCCGGCAGTGCCCTCAGTCTCCCCGTCTGTGCAGTGGGCTGGTGCGGGTGCTGCAGTCTTAGAGCCAGCACTCGCCTCCTGCCCAAACTGTGTGTCGTGCCCACACCTGGCCGAGCACTGAGAAAGTAGCTCGTGGCCCAGGCTTGGCAGGCCCTACCTCTGTAACCCCACCTTCCCAGGCCACCCCAAGGCTGCCTGCAGCTCCACTCCACTGCTGTTGAGACCAGGCCTCCCTGCCGCCATAGCAAGGAACCAAGTACCCTGGGACTCCGAGCCTGCGCACCTGCAGCCAGGCCCCTGCCTGCTGCTGCCCCTCAGCCAGGCCCTCCAGGTGGTACAGGCAGCCCAGTGTGGGGGGCTGGGAGGGAAGATTGCCCTCATCCTACAGCCCAGGTTCCCCACGCTTCAGGTGAAGCTGTGGTGCCCATGGCCAGGACAGGGCCTGGGCACTCAGAGCTTGCAGGTGCAGGGCCACCTGCGCCAGGCGTGGATGGGCAGTGGGGGAAGCTGAACAAGCAGGGGCAGTGGCCTGCAGGGACAGACTGCGAGGCCAAGCCTGCATGTGGGCCATGCAGGCCGCTGGCTCCACACTGCGTAGAAGGCGCAGTGACTCCTGGGTGAGTCGCTGCCAACCCCCAGCTCAGCTGCCGTCCCCAGCCTCCATTTCATCTGCAGCGCCTGTGCTGACGGGTCACCCACTGCTTACACGAGCCTTGCCAGCGCTGCCCTGTGTCCCTGTGTGAGGGGCAACCTTACCTCCCACCTGCCCGGGCCACTCTTGTCATGTGCCCAGCAGCTCTGGGCGCCATGGTGCCCTGAGCAGGATCAGCCACCGCCCGGGCTGCAGGGGCTCTTGGCAGAGCCTCCTAGAGGAGTGGCAGGCTGGGTAGGGCCCTCAGGGAAGTAGAAGGAAACTCAGCTGGGGGAGCACGCCCCCCTCCCACGTGCCAGACTCTGGCACTCTCTCCCCCACCCCCACCCCCCGGGCATCAGCTTCCTGGAAGAGGGTTTTCAGCCCCACAGATGCCGACCCCCCACCAGCATGGAGACGGACTGTGTGCGTCTGGCTGTGGGTGGGCACTCTGACAGGGCCCCGGGGTCCTCCTCAGCTCGCCTGCCCACAGCCCCTGCCTGGTGTCTCCAGAAGTCTCTCTGGACACTTGTGCAGGTCTGCCTCCCTGACGCTTCCCTGAGGGTCCTTCCCACCTTCTCACACACCTCCTGTGTCACCCCCTCCCTGCCCCGCACCCTGCCTGCTTGGAGCCCCATTGCCGAGGGTTAATGCAGGCTCTGCCTGACAGCACGGGTGGGCTGTCCATCAGTGCTGCCCACAGCCGCCGAGGGAGAATTAGGTATTGACAGATTAATAACGAGCCTGCGCTTCCTTCGATCGGCCTCGGGCTCGGGCTGCTATCTGCCTTTTGAACAGGGTGTAGGGCGAGGTAGGGCTGCTCACTCCCTGCTCAGGGTGACAGCAGGGGGGGCGGGGGGGCAGTGGGGGGCGGGGTGCACACTCTGGAAGGTAAAGCTGGTCCTGGTCCACCCCATGGCTTGCACTGCCCGTGGCTGCTGATCAGGGCTGGGGACAGGTGTGTGGGGGGTCTCACCTGCTCCAAGGGGCACGCCCACTCCAGGACTTGTTTGAGTTGAAACTGGCCCAGTGTCAGACCTGCAGTTGTAGCCATTCACAGTGGGCCGCCGGTGCGTTCTGCAGCCCCTCACCCCTATCAGGTTCCAGAATGTTCTCACCCCCAAAAGAAGCACTGGGCCATCAGCAGCCACTCTACTTCGCCCCTCCCATCCCCTGGCTCCCAGTGACAGTCTGGAGGGCCGTAGGGTCTCCCAGGATACCCTCTGGGTGCATTCGGTTGCCAGACCCTGGCCAGATTGCCCACCTCTCAGGGTCCACGGCCCCAATGGGGTCCTCCCCGGCCCCTTAAACCAGGGCCAGACCCAGGGCTATGGATCCAGGCCTACTCACAGGACCTCCTGGAAGTGGACCACCTGGCGGTCCCTCTCCCGGGAAGGGCCCCCTGTGGGCATTTCACAGGGACTCTCATGTCTGTGACTGGCATGGGCGCAGAGGCGTCCTTTGTTGGGGTCTGCCGCCCCTGTGAAGGCAGGTGAGCGGACCCGGTGCAGGGGCTCCAGCGAGGGGCAGCCTTGCCCAGGGCCTGCGGGAGCTTTTGCACAGGCGCTCGCTCCTCCCTGGCTGGCCGGATGGCTCGGAGGGTGTGGCGGGGAGGGGCGCACAGGCAGCGGTGGGTGCCAACAGCTAGCGCCCCAGCCCTGTCTCTCCCGCAGAAGTGCGTGTACTGCCGGAAGCGCATGAAGCGCGTGTCGGGCGCCTGCATCCAGTGCTCCTACGAGCACTGCTCCACCTCCTTCCACGTGACCTGCGCCCACGCCGCAGGCGTCCCCATGGAGCCCGACGACTGGCCCTACGTGGTCTCCATCACCTGCTTCAAACATAAGGCGGGCGCTCACCCGGTGAGTGCCGCCGGGCTGGGCCGGGCCCCTCCCTCGCCCCGCCCTTCCCAGGCCCCACGCCTGCCAACCCCGGCGTACGCTCACAGGGGCAGTTCCTGCGGGCCGTGAACTTGGGTCAGACGGTAATCACCAAGAACCGCAATGGGCTCTACTACCGCTGCTGCGTTATCGGCGCCGCCACGCAGACTTTCTACGAGGTGAACTTTGACGACGGGTCCTACAGCGATAACCTGTACCCCGAGAGCATCACGGTGAGTGGGGAGGGGGGGGCCCTGGGGCAATCCTCCAGAGGCCAGGGCGCCGGTGGTCTGGTGGTCTCCTCCCGCAGCCTGCATTCAGCGTCCGGGCAGGGGTGCTGGCAGGAAGGAGGGCGGGGCCTCACTCCACCCCACTTCCTTTGCAGAGTAGAAACTGTCTCCGCCTGGGGCCCCCTCCCGAGGGCGCGCCCGTGGAGCTGCGGTGGGCAGACGGCAACATCTACAAGGCCAGATTCATCTCCTCGCTGACCAGCCACACCTACCAGGTGTGCCTCCCGTGTTTCACCCCGCACTTGGGGTGCTTGTCAGGTCAGGGGTGGTGGGCCCCTCTCGGTGGGATCTTACAAAGCCCTAGTGGTTGCAAACAGTAGGCTTCCATGGGCAGCTCAGGCCCATCCAGAGGCAGAGAGCGCAGAAGGAAGGCCCGGCCATCTGCTTCAGGAAGCACTGGCCCAGGAAACGCGGGAGGGCGGAGGTGGTGGGGCAGCCATGGGAGTCTTTCTGGGGTCTGTGTAAGGCGGCCCTGGCACCCATCTCTTCCCGCCACCCTCATTTGTCAGTGGGGATGTGAAGGCAGAGGGCTCAGCACTGCCGGACCGTGGCCCCAGCCGGGTGTTACTCTCTGAACACCAGGCTTAGCCCTTTGGGGCAAGAGGAGCAGCTGGAGGCCATGGTTCGAGGCAGTGCCCAGCCCTGAAAAGGCCCTGAGGATGCAGCGGTTAAGCTCACAGCTGCCAAAGAAGAGGCCGGGCTCTGAGGGAGAGGGGCCTGGTGGCTGACAGAGTGGAAACCTGTTCCTTGCCAACCCCGTTCCGGAGATGGAATCGGTGTTTCCTAGACTGGGTGGGGGCTGGGCCTCTGCACCTGGGAGAACAGTGGGTGTGGGTATGGGTTGCCAGGACACTGAGTCCTTTGTGTTCTGAGAAGGGAGCGGTCAGCCACGCCAGTTGGGGTCGTGCTGTAAGTCTGTAGGAAACAGCCTGCCTCGGCATTCTCTCTCGGAGCAGCTGGGGCTACCCTGGGGCTCGAACTTCCCACCTTTTGGGTGACAACCCAGCACTGACCTGCACCAGCAGACCTCCTCCCACAGCAATGTCAGCCTGGGAGGCATGTGAACCCCCCAGGCAGTCTCACGGAGGACAGGAAGACGGTCTGGTCCCGCCGCCTGTCTCAGCTCAGCCTCTCAGAGATGTGTGCCAGACCCATCGTCTCTTCCACGAGGGGTAGGAGGTGGCCACAAACTGTCCCTTGGCACCGAGGTGACCAGGCCCACCGTGCCCTCGCTTTCCACTCAGAACCCCGCTGGAAGCAGGCTGGTTAGCTGGGCCTGCCACGAGCAAGTGTCACCAGGGCACGGGCTGGATGCCTTTTGTCTCCCATACCCCGCCTTCCCAAGAAGTACCTAGGAGCCCCGGCTTCTCCGGGAGGGGCAGCAGGTGCTGACTGGACCTTCAGGGTAGCCCCCGCCCAGCCCCAAGAGATAGCCAGGCTCAGGGATGTGGGGAGGCGGGACAGTGCTTCTTCCCTAAAGAAGAGTCCAGCAGGGTTGCAGGGGTCAGAGAAAGCCAAGAGCGTGGAAATGAAGGGGGGTGCTAAGTTGATGGCAGTGGGGTCTCACAGCCTAGGGGACCATCAGACCACCCACTTGGCACAGCCAGGGACCCAGGGTTGGGCAGAGCAGGTCACTTAGCCCAGCCAGGAACCCAGGGCTGGGCAGAGCAGGTCACTTAGGCGCTCGGGAGCTTGGTCCAGGTGACGGTGGGCTTTCAGGAGTCCCCTCACCCTGTCTGCCCTGACCCCGGTGCCCACAAGAGACTAAGGTCAGGCCCACTGTCCCTGGGCTACAGCTTTGAAATCTGGACATGCTCGCCCCAGTTTGCCTCCCCAGGACGACCGACCGCTCTCAGAACAGCGCTGCTGCCTTATGGGGTGCTGCCTTGCTCTCTCCCCAAGATGTGGCTTAAACTTCCCCTGGGCGGGCCCTCCAGCAGGGTCTGGGGAAGGGAACCTGGCAGCAACCAGTACGTTCCCCACAAGGGCCCAACCACAAGGGCCTTCCCTGGCCAGTCCCAGTCGTGATGTAACCTGTGCCTGCCTGCCCACGTCCCCGCTCAGAGAATCTAGAGCAGATCTCTGCCCAGCCCTCTGATCCAGAAATTGGAACCTGTGTCCTGCCTTCCTGCCGCGCCTCCACCCCCACCCCACCCCCCACTTTCCTGGGGCAGTTGCGTCTGCTCCTGCAGAAGTGAGGGCATGGCTTGGTTAGGTGCCCCCTCTTAAGATGGCTTTGGCCCCCAGAACCAGCAGCTCCCACAGCAGGCCAGCGGCAGCACCCTCTGTCCGGACATGACCAGCTGTCCTCCCTGACTGCTGCTTTCTGAGGAAGG